CCCCCCCCCCCCCTCCTCCCCAAAAAAACAGGAAAAACAATCACAGAAGAGGGGATAAACAATCCCAAAAGCCTGAGGTGCTGGATTCAAGCCGTCTTCGCAACATGAGTGCAGGAATAGTACTAATCACAATATATAGCACAGAACTTATATGTGACCACTGACAGTCTAACTGGCCTTCAAAATGCATGTTAACATGCTTGCATTATGTTATTCTCTTTCCTTATTGTCGAGGGAAATACTAGCAATATATGATGTTGGACAACAAATATCAATAGAACACATTTTTTACCATGGGTCTACAGAATACAATACCAAAAATAAATTCATCCAAGAGCTCCTTTCATAATTAACCCATAACGCTACAACCATAAGATATGCAACCTATCAGTACTGCCATTTTCACCGAGAAAACAACCAAGAATAAATTACCAGTTAAGTTTATATCAATGACTCTAGCAAGAAAATGTAAGGTCCCAATGTGCAGGAAAATGAACACCCTCCTTAAAGTCTGGCAATGTATGGTTAACAGACAGAATAGAGCAAAATGCAAACTAAACAAGTCCTCAAGGTACAGTGGAATGTCTCTTAGAACAACAATCAATCAGTTAGTTTCTCTTGAACATCACTTAAAATAAGCCACTGATGTATCCTCTTGTACAAGTTTTCATCTCTTCAAGGTAAATAAAGCCTTACATAAGGTCATGGCAGTACAAACTATAAGAATTACCTTATAGAATTTATAATATATAAGACCCCTTGACACTATTCTTTGCAAAGAGATGTCATTGCTAGACATAAATATATGTACCTGTTCTAATTTTGTGGCATTATTTTTTCTGATTGTCGAAAAAGCCTGAAGAACGTCGGAGTTGTCTAACTGCAAGCCATCACCACTAGCAACAGCAAAGCTTTTTCTTACCATGGCCTGTGTGAAAGACAACCAACAACTTTCAGCTGATAGAGGATGTACCATTTTTTGCCAACTTTTAAGATAATAAACTAATGCTGGAAAGAAAAGATTACAGAGCACGAAATTACAACCCACTTGTTTGAGTTCTGTTCTGATTTCTTCAACTGCATATCTGAGTTCTTTTCGCATTGCTTCATACAACCCATTGCTCATATTATCTCCAGTAGGCTGTTGAGCCTGAAGAGTAACAGGAAATTTCAAAAGAGGAGACATTGTAGAAAGAAATGGAACCAAAACTCCAAGGCAGTGCTCGTTGAATAATTAGCAATTACTTTACACTAAATCAACCAACCTTCTGTGCATAAACTTCTTGAATGGTCTTCTCAATCACATTTTTACCAGAACGACCGTCCCTTGCTTCATCATCAGTTAGGGCAGATGAATGGCTCTGAGAGATCCAAATGCATCATATATGAGTCCAGTCCTACAGACGGTCTAATTTATTTCTTCAAAAAAAATGTTCAAGAGGGCCTCAAACAAATGATTGCCCTTATTCTCTCTATCAGCATTTATTCAATAATTCCAGTTGAGTGTTTCCCCGATATATTGAAGCTTAAGAGAATCCTAAGAAAAATAACAAGCATCAACAATTTTACAGCTAGGGGAGAAAATTCTCACCGAGTATCCATTATGTGACTTTGATAAATCTTTTTGGCTGAGAGACCTCACCAATCTTCGATGACCTGAAGTTGTTGGCTTCTGAAATGAAGGCATCAGGCTATTTCGAGTACTAAAAATCTTAGTACTTGCATGATTGATAGAACTCTGAGAATGATCCATGTCACTCTGTCATTCAAAAAGAAATTGGCATTGGTCTAAATTAAGTTTATATCACCTTGACGCAAAAAAAAAAAACATAAATATTTATAACATGTCCAGAAAAAAATTAAGAAATATAACAAATATCAAATGTCTCTAGTTTTAACTGTAGCATATCTGCAATCTGCATCATCATATTGCCAATTGAAATAATGACCAAAAAGGATGTAGAGGCAACAGTGTAAAACATGTGCTATAATGTGCCTGAGTGACTGACGTTGGGTGAGTTGCTAACAAATAAAACTATTACCGAAGTATGTCCAAATTCGGCAGTGTGTGCCAGCTTCCAACAATTGGGTTCTTGCTCTTCTGTAGAGCATGTCGGAAAAACAATGTTGGAAGAGTTAAAAACAATTTAATATAAGCAATGTCTGTAGTAAATTTCTCATTTTTACTTAAATACAATCACAATATCAAAATGAAAAATTTTGAAATTGATACACTTCACCTGCCTAGGATACAGGTTGAATAGAGTTATAACCCTCGACTTGAACACTATTCACTTGAATTATGGTACCGTATAGGCTTACTTGTATTTTCTTTCAGAGAAGAGTAATTGGTTATGTGGTTTCTTTGTTCCTTTTAATGGCTGCGGGGACTCATGTTTTTCTGTTGTTATCCCCCACTCCCACAAAATAAATAAAAATAAGAATAAATCCCAAAAAGAATACATCCCAAAGTGGGTGGAGACAAGCCAATTAGCATCGCAAACTCAGGTCTGCAATGTCATGCCGAACTTTAAACAGCAAAAATGCAGCAGAATTAAGAATTTTAGCATTACACAACACATAAATTTAAATAATACATAGCAAGATTGACATTAAGATAGCCCAAGAAGTGGACTAGGCAAGCAATTGTTCTCAACAGGGTAAGTCACCACATGTATATCTTAGTGTCAAGGAAAATATTTAGACTCACTCCAGTGAATATAAACTTTCTAGTGCAACCAAATAGGATTATTTGCTTCATTTTTCAATTTGTTCCTATTTAACCTCATAATTGACAATGTTCGTGCAATGCAGTAGAGGCATTGAGTTACGCTTCAATAGCAATGGAGAATTCTGTTGTTTTAGCTACTCCTACTCTTAAGTCTTAACTAAAACAATTATCATTTATAAATCCTTGCGCTATTTTAACAAAATATTCTACATATAACACATAAAAAAATCAATAAACTACATATATGACCCTCAAATTATGATCATTATGTCAATTAAACCCCTCAACTTTTTTTTATATCAATTGAGTTATTGAACTCTCTAATTGTATGAATTAAACCCTTCTGTCGGCCTTCTTTTAAATTTTCTAACACAAAGTGACAGTGTGATACAAGTACTTGGAGTAAATTACACATATGACCCTTAAGCTATAACTCTTTTGTCAATTAAGCCCCTGAATTTTTATGTGTCAATTGGGCCCCTAAATTATCTAGCTGTGTCAATTGAGCTCTTTTGTCTCTTTGTGCAATATAATCACGTGAGCGGCATACTGTTAACGCAGATAGATAAAAGGACTCGATAGACATAAAAATGATTGGAGTAAACTACACATGACTCTCAAACTATAACTCTTTTTTCAATTAAGCACCTGAATTTTTTGTGTCAATTGAGTCCCTAAATTATCTAACAATGTCAATTGAGTTTTTTTGTCTTTTTGTGCAATATAGTCGGGTGAGTGACACACTCTTAGCCAAAAAAAAATTCAGGGGACTTAATTGATACAACAATCATAATTTGAGAGTCGTCTGTCTAATTTACTCAAAAAAAAAAACATCCTTCCCTTGACATTACGATCATCTTCAATCTTCAAAACCTCCGCTATAATAATGTACTGAGCTAAAAATAGTCAACACTAACACGCATATACCCAAAAATTAAAAAGAGTTACAATAATCTTTGAGCAAACGGTTCAAATTTCAGTGCAAACCTAAAGAAATTCACCTCAGAATCGCTAATTTGATAACGAACCACCGAAACAGACCTCCTCCTCGAAGTGGCTTCCGAACCCACCTTCCCACCGGCTCCACCAGAACCATTGCAAACAGTGCCACTGCGCTTGTTTTCACCAGCTCTCGAACTATGTCTCGACACCGACCTCCCTCGTCTCTGAGACGACGCCGTATCACTGGCCCAACGACCAATCTTCGAACTCCGCCGACCCGACCGGTCTCTCTCACTACACTCTGTCTCATCCACCCTGAAAGAGTCCTTCAGAGGAAAGAACTCGAATGCGAGATCATCGAGGCTGATTTCAGGAAAACCCGAACCTCTTGAAGTATTTACGAACCTGCCTCTCGGCACTGGACCGTCCCCGAAGTCAGCCGATGGCTCCGGTAGCCGGGGCGAGAATCGGCTCAGACTCCTCGACCTTCGATGAGTTTTGTTGGAGGAAGCAGAGCTGTCGGAGTTTGAGGTTGATCCGATCGGATTCCTCTTCGTCGTTGATTTAAACGCCGATGTCGCCATCACAGTACAGTAATGAATATACAAAGAAGTGAGGACTAGGGTTTATGATTCGGCATTGCAAGTGTTTCGTGAAGAGAGAGAGAGAGTACTCAGCTCACGGAGAAGAGCTGAAGCGGGAGCAAAGAGAGAAAGAGACAGAGAAGGTGACGATTTGGCGGAGGTATCGATAGTTTGTGGAAGTTTCAAATGTAAGTAGGTGGACAGACGGATTAGGACTGGTTCAGCCAAAACAATTGCGTAATTGCCATTGACTGACTGATATGGTGTGAGAGGATCCACACCGCCCCCATTGTATTTTTTTAAATCACTTAGGTCGGTACGATTAGGTCGAAAAAAATGATGGAAAGAAAAAATGATAGAAATTAAGTCAAAGAAAAAAAAATAATAAAAAAATATATTTTTATGCATGTATTCAGGTAAAATGAAAATTTTATGAGAAAGTTTTAAAAAAAAATTATTCTATTGTTTAAAAAAAATGAAAGTTATAAGAGATTTTTTATAATTGTCTAAACTATCCCTAATTATATTAAATTAGTCTAAAAAAAATGTAATTACAATTGAAAATTAAAAAATTCTCAAAACTAATTCTAGGATAATCACCAATACAAAGGTTTTTAGGTCAAATTATATGATTAATCGAGTTTATATCAAATTTTTTTAAAATTAATTACTAATACAATTTTTTTTAAAAAAATAAAGGTAAAATGAGAAATTAGTTATACATCACAATTTTTATTGTATTTTTTTTGTGTTTTTTACAATAAAAAAGTTAGTTATTTGCGAAAAAATTCAAGTATGAAAGAAAATTATTTTTTTTATTATTTTTCTTTCTATACTAACCAAACACATGAAAATTTTTAAAAAAAATTATTTTTTGTATTTTCTACCATTCTTTTGCTAAACAAACGACCCTTATATAATGGGTTTTAATTGAATATATGATGGTGATTTATTAAAAAAAAATTTAAGATAAAATATATCGTAATAGATCTCACTCTATAATAGACTGATGCTAGCTAGTCTTATTTTTCGAATGTTATGTTTGATTTAGTTAAAATATATCGTAATAGATCTCACTCTATAATAGACTGATGCTAGCTAGTCTTATTTTTCGAATGTTATGTTTGATTTAGTTATTTCGAGCGTAGATGAATGGGATTATTAGTACGAATGTATGACCCCTTATTAAATCAAATTTGCATAACAATAATATTATTTATATTTAACTTAAACAATTAAAGAAGAAAAAAANTATGTTTGATTTAGTTATTTCGAGCGTAGATGAATGGGATTATTAGTACGAATGTATGACCCCTTATTAAATCAAATTTGCATAACAATAATATTATTTATATTTAACTTAAACAATTAAAAAAGAAAAAAAATGGATTAAATAGAAACTTTTATTGACCTCCTTAACACAAAATAGAATCTTCTATACTACATCGGTTTGCGACCTAATATTAAGAAAGCCCACCCGCGGGCAAAGATTCTTGCTTGAAGACGCGTTTGGTTTGGAACGATGGGAGGGCATTTAGTTCCATTTNGAAGAAAAAAATGGATTAAATAGGAACTTTTATTGACCTACTTAACTCAAAATAGAATCTTCTATACTACATCGGTTTGCGACCTAATATTAAGAAAGCCCACCCGCGGGCAAAGATTCTTGCTTGAAGACGCGTTTGGTTTGGAACGATGGGAGGGCATTTAGTTCCATTTCTATCTATTATCGTTAAATTAATAATATATTCAATTGAATAATAAAAATTTATGGAATTTTAACTGTTTAATAAATGAGTTAAAATAAATTGCGCTATACTTATTTATAGATAGTCAAAATAAATCATTGCCATCAACAAGACTAGACCTCCTAGNAACGATGGGAGGGCATTTAGTTCCATTTCTATCTATCATCGTTAAATTAATAATATATTCAATTGAATAATAAAAATTTATCGAATTTTAACTTTTTAATAAATGAGTTAAAATAAATTGCGCTAAACTTATTTATAGATAGTCAAAATAAATCATTGCCATCAACAAGACTAGACCTCCTAGATGCAAAGGGATTGCAATCGGTGCAGCTAATTAACATAAATAATAAATAAATAAAACTACAATTAGACACAAATAACATAATTAACTTGTATTGTAAGTAAAAAATAAACTTTTTATCTTTTTAATTTCTCTAAATATCATATAAAATATTTTAAAATTAAATAATTTTTTATTGACACGAACTCAAAAAGGATCAACACCCTCACCTATACATATAACAAAAGAAAAATATTATTTGAATTTAATTTGATGACCTAATTNAACACGAACTCAAAAACGATCAACACCCCACCTATACATATAACAAAAGAAAAATATTATTTGAATTTAATTTGATGACCTAATTCAGTTTAACCATTGGATTGAAAATAAACTCCACCCAACATTAAAGTTTACAACTAATTCAATTGTTGCATTGAATTAGGTTTCTGATCAGATCCACAAATTAAGAGTAAATATTAGACGCAATGATTACACTATATTAGCATCGCCACATTGTATAACCACCCAACAATAATAAACAAACAAGTGGACAAATGAACTCTAATTTTTAAAAAACAACGCCACAAAACCTAAGAAGTTACGATTCAAATACAACTGTTACACCATGTAATAACGTTGACATGGTGTTTCCGTTATATCCAATATTTACTCCCAAATTATGTTCCCCCGTAGCATGGCAGTTAAGGAACATTTCAGTGCTTACATGGTACACCCATAATGCGACCTTGGCCTTTCAGCATCCTTAAGGTCCAAAACCACCATTCAAATCTTCATCTAGAATATAGACATTGCATCTAAGTATTTGACCTTCCATTCACATTACGGATCAATGGTTCTTTTGCCCACAGGGTGGGCGAGAATAGTCTAATATTATGGTACTGCTAACCATAGGAATGTAAAAACATCTTGGGAAACCCATAATAAACCTTGGGGCAGACATACATCCCCACTATGCCGAAAAGACATATAAGATACAACACGAAGCAGTCTAGAAATTGTAGAAACAAAATCCATTTTATTCCCCTCGAGTGATGTTGGACAACACCCTTCTAGTACCCTTATCAAGCCAAGGAGAAGAACCAAGGTTGCAACATCCAAGCCTTTAATCCATCTTACTGAACAGATGCCATGTGAACAATCAAATCAATCACACGTGAACTGCACCACAAATACAAAATTATCAGCACGGCATCTTATTATCAAGCAAATAATGTATACAGTGACCTATTTCAACAGAATAATAGTGACCCTGCTTTCAAGCTTAACAAGATTAAACAGCGAAATAGGCAAAATAGTTCTACTCCAAATAGCCATCAGAGATGCAAATCGAGCAAAGAAATATCACAATTACCTGTAACCCCATTCGTTATCATACCACGCAACCAGCTTCACAAAGTCTTTATTCAAAGCAATTCCTGCCTTAGCATCAAAGATGCTTGACCTACAAATTCAGACAACTATGATTATAAATTTGTCAAAGAAAACAAAATTGCACCAGTTGAAAAAAAAAATCACTTGCGCTCTCAAGTGACAAGGATTAAAAAGACTAAGCCAAGACTCGATGGAAAGTTTATCAGCAATAAATTTCCCAAGCAAAAATCCACCAACTGATGCATGAGACAATAATCTACACTAAAGAAACTGCATTGAGCTTAGCATGGCTAAGTGTTCAACTAATGCTCAAAATTGGAAGAGTAATGGGAGAGGAGAACAAAAGACAACAGAATATTACTTCCAATATCCATTCTCACCTGCTGTCACCCAAGAAGTCGGTGGAAACAACATCATCTTCAGTGTAACCTAAGATTCCCTTCAATTTTCCCTCAGACTCTTCCCTAATGATCACGACCACCATAGTTAAACCACAGTAAGAATAGCACAAAGAAAAAAAAATCAGCGGCAACACTACTAGTTAATCCAAACCACCCAAATGGATAATCAATATTTATGCAACAAGATAGTACATTCAATTTTGCAAGGGAAATAAATGAAATTGCTCTGTCCTTACTTGATAGCAGCTTTGATCTCATCATAACTAGCCCCCTTCGCCAGCCTCACAGTGAGATCAACCACTGAAACATCAACTGTGGGAACACGGAAAGCCATTCCGGTCAATTTCCCATTCAGTGAAGGTAGCACTTTCCCAACCGCCTTGCACCATGAATTGTTTGAAGAGTTGGAAAGGGGAAGCATTAGCACAATGTTTTAAGGAGAAAAGCTTGAGAAAGAAAAAAAAAATAGACAACAATATCCCTATATGCTATCAGAAGCTCAGTCAGAATAAAACTAAACTACACCTGTAGGCTTTTTCACTAAACAAGTCCAAAATTGATCATCTGATTAAGTTATGCAAGGATTTACAAGTACCTTCGCAGCGCCAGTGCTGCTAGGAATGATGTTAAATGAAGCAGCTCTACCACCCCTCCAGTCCTTGGAAGATGGTCCATCAACAGTCTTCTGTGTGGCTGAATCACAATGAAGCAATATGAAGATACAGCACCTGTTGGGATGGCTAACTAAGTATACAATTGTAACAATACGTACCAGTGATGGAGTGGACAGTGGTCATAAGACCCTCAACAATGCCAAATCTATCATTGATAACCTGCATAGTGGCATTAAAGAACTTAAGATTTTTCTCCATAAGTTCAAATTGAGAAGTGCAGCAGGGACCAATGGAGAGTAACAAAAAACCTTTGCAAGGGGAGCGAGGCAGTTGGTGGTGCAGCTAGCATTGGAAACAATGTTAAGCTCTGGCTTGTATTCCTTCTCATTGACACCCACAACAAACATGGGAGCATCCTTGCTAGGAGCAGAGATGATGACCTTCTTAGCCCCACCCTGAATAATAAGGAAAAAATAACCAATTTAATCAATGCCCAACTTCAAGCTTCCGCATACAAACAGACACACCAACAATATCCTCAAAAGATTCTGTCAAATTGGTACAACAAGTTATAAGAAAAACCCGCAAAGAGCAATCTGGAGATGATAACTTTAAGAACCACACTAGTGAAATTGTCAAACAATCTGCTACTATGTTGCATACCGGTTCTATAACAAATCCTATCATGCAACCACATTAGCAAAAATAAACAAGTAACCAGTGTCATCAGGATTCATGATGGAACCAGACTAGTGGAACAGACCTCAGGACAAGGCTAACTCGAGTTAAGAATGCGTAATGCAAAAAATTACCAAAAGATGAATATGGCAATAGGAAGCAAAGTATGCCTGAACTCAATCCACACTACCATATAACCTAACACAAAAAGGAAACAAACCAAAAAAAACAGTGAAAAAAGAAAATTAGTTTTGACTTCAATTATGGAATACTTGATTCATTTTTTGAGGTTACAAACTTGCAATCCCAATTCTAGTTCACAAATGCAGACCAAGAATTTATTAAAACCATCCAAACCGGGTATACACTTCTTACATGATTCTATACTTCACAAAAATCCACCACAGTTAATCAACATTCGCAATCCAACAGATGTACATCGAATTGAAGAACAAGTGATATATGTCGTTATACAAACCTTCAAATGAGCTGCCGCCTTGTCTTTGTCGGTGAACACTCCAGTTGATTCCACGATGTACTCAGCTCCGGTGTCGGCCCATGGGATTTCCTCAGGGTTTCTAGAATAATCAACAAAATAACATCAACAATTGCCCTATCATTTCACATAAAGAAATAACCAGAGTTCAATACATATATATGTAGGTGCTCATCTAAATAAATAACCAGAACAACGGAGGCATACCTAACGCCGAAAACAGTGACGGGCTTCTCTCCAAAGAGAAGGGTCTTATCGTCCTTAACTTTGAGCTCGTCGTGCTTCCACTGACCATGAACACTGTCATACTTGAACATGTATGTCTGCAACAACCAACAAAATTACCTATTTACCACCAAACACTCCGACCAACATAGATTCACAGTGTATGACAGAGAAAAACAAAAACAACCACCGACCAAAAGAAACAATCATGGCCAATATTGTTCATAAACCCAGAACTACAACCGGGAAATCTACCAATCAGAACCTAATTATGAGATTCGCCGACCAAAAGAAACAATCACGACCAATATTGTTCATAAACCCAGAATTATAACCAGGAAATTTAACAATCAGAACCTAATTATGAGATAGAATAGCATTTAAATGAAATTACAAGGCATAGAAAAGTATCAATACCATGTAATCAACGGAGATGAAGGGATCGTTAACAGCAACAAGTTCAACATCGTCTCTCTTGAGAGCAACTCTAGCCACCAGTCGACCAATTCTCCCAAAACCTTCATTTTTCAATACGCGAATATGTAATCAACACTAGATCAAGCAGAGTAAAATCCTTTCAAATCTGACTAAATAAGAAAACATGCAGAGAAAGTTAGATCTCATTACCGTTGATTCCGATCTTCACTTTGGCTGTCAAAAACCAAAACAAACAAAAAACAAAGAAATCAGGTGAACAAATCACTGATAAAAAATTGTTAAAAAAAAAAAAAAACCCATAAACCAAAAAAAAGGAAATCATAGAAAACAGGGGTAATCAGTACCCATGATTCTGTGTGCCTGGGGAGAGAGTGTGTTTTCACAGACAGTCGCGGAGAGAGGGAGAGAGAGTAAAGTAGTGTAGCGTGGGNATCAGTACCCATTATTCTGTGTGCCTGGGGAGAGAGAGTGTTTTCACAGACAGTCGCGGAGAGAGGGAGAGAGAGTAAAGTAGTGTAGCGTGGGATCACTGGGATGTGGAATTAATGTTAATAAAACTTCTTTAATATTACACATACCCAAACTTTTTTATATTCTTTTTTTTTTAAAGATAAAAATTAATTATTAAAAAAATTAAATTACTTATATTTATGTCTATCTAATTTTATTAGTTAATGACAAATTTCTGAATTTTCAAATAAAATTAAATAAATGCACTAGAGTCTTATTTAATATAAAATTTATTTTNTCTATCTAATTTTATTAGTTAATGACAAATTTCTGAATTTTCAAATAAAATTAAATAAATGCACTAGAGTCTTATTTAATATAAAATTTATTTTAATATAATTTAAATAAGATTACAAAACCCTAACTTTTCATTTTCTTCTCTTTTATGTTTTAGTTTTAATAAATCCTCTTTAATTATGTTTATTGGCAANTTTCTTCTCTTTTATGTTTTAGTTTTAATAAATCCTCTTTAATTATGTTTATTGGCAATATTAAAAACTATTTTATTTGTATTGATTAGCAATGCTACGAATATATTTAATCTCACGTTAAATTACTTATCACAACTTAATTTTTTTACTTTGCTCAACCAATAGTTTATAATTAAATGACCATCATAACTTAAAATAGTCAACTTCTATATTTTTCATAATTTAATAAGTGTTTGTGATACTTTTTAGTTATAGATTCCCACATACCATAAAATATATTTATNTTTAATAAGTGTTTGTGATACTTTTTAGTTATAGATTCCCACATACCATAAAATATATTTATACCATTACTATAATGTTGCAAATAAAATTAATCTAAACAATTAATTTTATGCGAAAAGTTCTAAACTTTCAGGATACAAGTTTACAAGAAGGTAATTCATTAAAACCTAAGAGAAAACAAAATAATAAAAACTAATATTCATTCTATAAATACGCAGTGTTATGTCTATTACAAATTATATAATAGGAATATTCAAAAGACTAAATTTATAAGTAGGTATTTGCTATTACATTTATTTAATTATTTCAAAAACAAAACCACAACTCAAAAAGTCTACTCACAAGGCACGTGTGCACGATCTAGTATAGAAAAAGAGTATATAGATATTTGCTTACATGGAAGATTAATTATTAATTTTAGTAGGGTCCATTTGTTATTTATTTTAACATTATTAATTAGTGATACCACGTCAGCATTATCACGTGGTATAACTGTCGTAATGAATATCTTTTCCCTCCCATGGGCGACTAAATACTATTTGTAAACTAAGAGGTCATTTGATTTGTGTTTTTGTTCCGTATGATATGTTTTCGTTTTTAATTTTTAATAAAATAAAAATAAAAATGTGTTTGAATTTGTGTTTTTATTTTATATAAAATACGTTGTTTCGGAAAAAAGAGACCAAAAATAACGAAACAAAAAAAAGATGTCTCGAAAACAAGAATAACCGAAAACATACTACATGCGCCGTCTCAATTAATGAGATCCTCCATTCGAATCTGATTATCAACAAAAAGAAGGCTTTTTGTGCTTACAATAAAAATCTCTTTTCCTCTTTCTTTTCTCTTTTCTTGTCACTCTCTTATCTCTTTATCTCTTTATCTCTTTATCTCTTTCTCTTTGAAAACTCAGACGAAGACGAAGAACGAGACTTGGCACCCTAAAGACTCCTAAACATATCTCCTAAACATATTTTCTATTTTCGTTGTTTACCACAAAATAAAACAAAAAGTTATTAAATGCACCCTAAATTTGTTGAATTTTTTTTGGGATAAATTATACTCACACTCCTAACATTTGACAAAATGACACGAAGATCCTAAATTTTTTGTTCATTATGGTATATCAGTTTTAAGTAATGTTACTTAGACCTAATTTAATGTCCTAATTACTCACAACCATTTGATTGACAGACATTGAGTTTCAATATTCGTTGAGATCCGCTATCAAGTCAATAAGTGTGATGGATTATCACTATAAATTATGTCAACAAATTGAGTGTCAATAGTATTATTGATTAGTTTTTGTTTTTGTATTTTTTAACATAATTAGTTATTGTTGAGAAACAAACAAAAAAAATTAAAAAAGAATCTATAATATAAAACAGGATAAATTTTAATAAGTTCATTCGACAGTTTTAAATAGACTCAATCAATGGTAACTAATATTTTTCTTAAAATTATTCATATTACATTGCATTTTTAGACACGAATTTCCTCCGATAAAAAACACAATGTGAAATATAAAAAATGCTTGATCTTCACGTAAAGTCTTTTTGGGTAAGTTCACACCACCACCAGAAAATTGCTGAAGCAGTTTGGTAATGGGTAAGGCACGTCAAGTCGTCACAATTACATAGGACACGAAGGCCTTGATGTGCGTGACAGGTTGACAACGTGACAGGTTGATCAAAGGCCCAGTAGGCCGGCCTCATTTTGGATTTAGGATAATAGTAATGGTATATGTCCAAAAAAATGTACACTAAAATATACATTAAATTATTTGTTGTAGTTGGATTAATAGGTCTTATCATTGACCATATTAATTTTTGAAGTATTGAATATATTTATATATGATCTCTTAAACAAACAACATTTAAATTATTAATTGTTTTTTGGGCTAATTGTAGTTTGCACCCTGAAAGATTTTCAAAATTTTAATTTATACTCTAAAAGATAAAATTTTTCAATTTGCACCCTAAATGTCACCAAAACGATGCAATGTGCACCGGTCCCAAACGTTTGTTTGATTTACCATTTGAAAATTCAGGACACAACTTGCACGTGATTTCTTGTATGGATTGAATGGTAAAAACACATTCCTTTGGCGTCAAATCGAAGTTGGTTTACCTTTATCTTTGTCTTCGAATAAGATTGGTTGGAGAAAGTCAGTTGTGCAAGGGAAGAAGAAGAAGAAGAAAAAGCTAGAAGAAAAAGATAACAAACAGAGCAAAAAATGGAAGGGATCTGCCACTATGGTTGAAGACAGCAATGAAGACCTCATGGACAGACCTAAACCCTAAGAGGAGGTTTAGGGTCTTGCGATAATTATGCGGTATAACTTCACATCCCATTAGAAATTTAACAATATTCTTACAATTGATGAACTAAGATGTGCATTCAGACTATTTTTTCTCACCGATTTTTCACACATTATGGATTATAGTTGTTCTATTTCATTTGATTTTTTTTATTTAAAAAAAGTCTTTTATGTAATTTTTTTGCACAGAGTAAACAAATATTTGTATTTTGCACTTGTAGGAAGGTGGTCCATGTGGTTATTTTGTTTGGGTTGATCCACCTATGTGTATACGAGCACGATAGTTAATACCCGGCTTATTACGTCGTGTAACAAACTTGGAGACACATGTGGAGAGACACAGAGGAAGGGCAAGATTGTTGTGGGTCTGTTTGGTTGTTTCTTGGCTGCTTATGATCCTAATTTGTTGCTATAAGAATGACCCCTCTGAAGATGGTATTGATGGAGAGCTTCCAATTGGTCACTGAGTAGTGAAGTTGATGAAGATAGATTTAATGGTTGTCTAAGTAGATGGATGTAGTGAAACTTTATGACATAGTTCTGTATTAAGTAGTGAAACTTTAATGGTTGTCTAATGATATTATGTTGTAATAAAGATGGATTGTAATGAATTATGAGTGAATCTCTTTTGTTTGAATTCAAAAGTCCAATTGAATATGCAATGGAAAGAAACATCAATAATAGAAAATGCCCAATAATTCCATTCAATACTAAAAGCAAGTTTCACATCATCATTAATCCAAAAACAGAGCTTGCAAAAAATGGTGACACATGCTTCCTAAAATGAGATCAACCAAAAAAGAATACAACCAATCTCAACAAAAAATGTGTCATCCACAAAAAAAATCAACATTCCACATATGGCTTCTAACGTATTGATGATTCAGCTGATGATGATGTTTTTGGTGGCCTCCATCTTGTTAGTGATCTCTACATTGTGCGTGGTCCAATTGATGTAGTTGAAGATGATGGCCTCAAATTTGTGTGTGGTCCAGTTGGTGCAATTGGCCTCTACATTGTGCGTGGTCCAGCTGGTCCAACTGGTGTAGTTGAAGATAATGTTTCTGGCCTAAGTGGTACACTTGGTGTTGACTGTGTAGCAAATGGTGATGTATCTTTGTTCCTTCTAACCTGATGGAATGCATAAGTGTAAGTATGAAATGCAATAGTGTATTGAAATCAAACATAAAAATAAAATCAATTTCAAACAAAATTACACACAGGTAACTTCACTCTTGGTGTTGCAGATGGTGTTTGTTGCAGGTGATGCTGTTGCTGCAAATGGTGTTGCAGGTGGTGGTGCAAATGGTGTTGTAGGTGGTGGGGGTGCAGATGGTGTTGCAGGTGTTGGTGCTGCAGATGGTGCTGCTGATGTTGTTTGCGATGGTGTTGTTTCAGGTGGTGGTGATGCAGTTACTGCCTTCTTGCACTTCCTCTTGTTATGACCAATTTGACAACAACTTGAACACACAATCTACTTATATTTTCTCTTCAATTTGTTACCATTTGATGGTTCTTCTCTTTCTTTTCTCCTAACTTTCTTAAGCCTTTCAGGCATCCTGCTTACAGCAGGAGGGATTAAAGGTGAGTAACCTGGTCTAGGCCACATGTCCTTTCCATTAATAGGACTCAACTGGTGACTATAACAATTCAGAAAAGATTCTACTTTGCACCATTCAACCACTTAGTCTTCTGCTCTTAATCCTAGGTAGCATAGAGCAGATACTACATGCTTACATGAGATTCTAGTTAAATCCCATTTTCTACAACTGCAAGTCCTAACCTCACATTAACAATCCTTTGTTCACCATACATCCCAACTACTTCAAATTTGTCATCCCCATTCCAGGTTGGTATGAACCCAGCTGATTCTACTTTGATGAGTTCCAATCTTTGTTGAATATTAGGACAAATACTCTGGTTTTACTTCTATATAGAATCCCTCTGTACATGTAACCTCTCTATTAACCAAATTCTTATTTTTTCAAGCATAGTAATAATAGGCTTCTCCCTAGCCTCCAGAATACACTCATTAAAGCTCTCACACATATTGTTCTGCAACATGTCACAGTTGGGGAAGGTACTAAAGTATGCTCTAGACCAATTCTTTGGTAGTCTATCAGACAACCAATTATAAGCAGCCACATTAATCCCTTTTAACTCCTCCATAACATTATTGAAATCAACAATTGTTGTTGATTTGGTAGCCCTCCACAACAGATCCTTTAGAACTAATCCCTTATGTTCTGTTTTGAAGTTATTGTACAAATGCCTTACATGAAACCTGTGTTCAGCATTTGGGAAAAAGCTTTCCACTGCATCCAACAATCCTTGCAACATTAAAAGTCTAATTAGAACATAAAACATTTAATGCTTATTGCATTATGCCACAAGTGAAATGAAAAATAAAGGATCTGGATACTTGCCTTTTGTTTATCTAACATGAAAGTCCATGCATGTGAATTAACTATTTGAAGATCTTGTTTAATAAGTTGAAGAAACCATGCCCAGGATTTTTTTGTTTCTTTCTCAACTACAACAAATGCAAATGGATACATTTGGTTGTTGGCATCAATTTTCACTGCTGCAAGCAAAATTCCAGCTAGTGGTCCCTTCAGATGACATCCATCTATTCCAATTAATGGCCTACATCCCTCAAGTAATTCCCTCTTCAATGCCCCATAACATACATATAACCTTTTGAACATAAATTGATCTCCTGTTATAGACTTAGTTTTAATAATGCAAGTGGTCCCTATGTTTGTTCTCCTTAACTCTTCACAATAATCCCACAACATATTGAATTGTTCTTTATGAATCCTATTCATCATTGTAATTGCTTTTTGTTTGGTTCCATATACTGAACTGGGATGTAACTTCACTATATGTTCTTTAAGAATTGTTTCTTTTAGTGACTTAATGGGCCAGGTTGGGTTTGATCTAATTCGCAACCCACTTAGTATTGGCATGATTCATTTTAAAATTTCTGTTTCAACTATGTCTACCAACGTAAGTTTTTACCTGCATGGTCATCTTTGAACCCAATCTTAAAGCATATATCATCCAATCACAACCTAATTTACAAACTGCCCTCACCCTATACTTCTCATTTTTTGCAAATCGTATTTGTTTTCCCTATTTTATTGCATGTTGTCTCACTGCTGCCCTGAACTCAGCTGAACTTTTAAATAACATCCCTAGCTTAAACTGTGGGTCAACCATATCAGCCTTAGTAGTGAAATGTGGATACTTAACCCTCTCACCCCCCTGTTTCATCCTCATCATATGAGCCACTAAGGCTTTGCAGCTCATCAGACTCACAATCTTCATCTACTAAACCACTGTCATTGTCCATTCCTATTGCCTTAACATTCTGATCCCCTTTCTGTTTGTTACTTTCAACCCTTGTCCCATTTCCTACAAAGTTAGAATCATCATCAACTACATTCTCATACAACTGGGAATTCTCCATATCATATTCATTATCATAAAAATATTCAGACCCAGAAGACTCATCCTGTGAGCATTCTTCACTGTCAACTTCATCCTTATCAGAAGAACTCTTAGATGCTACTCCATTACCATAAGTTGACTCAGCTTGACTAAGGTTCAACATACAAGTCTTACTGTGTTTCACATATAGATCAACCACTCTGTTACTATTTTTCCACTTCTTAAGTTCCATGATCTGTTGATCATTTTCCAATTCCCCCCACCCTTTACTAGCTTTATGATAGTATTTTGTATTCTCAGAATAATCTACTCCAACATCTTTTAGCATGTTGTTCAACTCTACCAAAGATAATTGGTCAGCATGACACATATCAAAGTGGTTCCATCTCCCACATGTGTACACTTTGTCACCATAACCCTCAAATTTACCACTATGATGCATTTTTATTGTAAAATAATCTGTGTCAGTCTTTGCATAAACAAATACTAACTTATACAAAAAAACATTTTAATATTCAACACTTGAATATAAAAATCAACCCACACAAACCACATAGCTTCTTGCTAACAAAACAAATCATATAAAACCAAATAATTCAGGCCCACACCCACACAAATCACATAGCTTCTTGTAGACAAAATAAATCACATAAAACCAAATAACTTAGGCCAACACAAACACATAATATATTATAACTTTGAAAACAATCACATAAAAAAAAAGAAGAAGAAAAAACAAAAGCACGCCATTAAAACTGGAACCATTCCAAATGGAAACAAACAAATTCTCACCGTAAATTGATGACTCCTGTCCAAGTAGTATATCACAGTTATACTCTCTTACAACCCAATACATTTGATCGATATCCAAGGTCAACAGCTTCGATTGTGTTCCACAAACAAGGTTAGCAGCTTCGATTGTGTTTCACCCAACACAAGCACCTTCGTTTCTCTCCTTTTTTGAGACTGATAAAGGGAGTAAAGGAGATGAACTTTCGTTTCTCTCCTTTTTTGAGACTGAGAAAGGGGGTTTCAGATGAACCNGTGTTGCAGGTGTTGGTGCTGCAGATGGTGCTGCTGATGTTGTTTGCGATGGTGTTGTTTCAGGTGGTGGTGATGCAGTTACTGCCTTCTTGCACTTCCTCTTGTTATGACCAATTTGACAACAACTTGAACACACAATCTACTTATATTTTCTCTTCAATTTGTTACCATTTGATGGTTCTTCTCTTTCTTTTCTCCTAACTTTCTTAAGCCTTTCAGGCATCCTGCTTACAGCAGGAGGGATTAAAGGTGAGTAACCTGGTCTAGGCCACATGTCCTTTCCATTAATAGGACTCAACTGGTGACTATAACAATTCAGAAAAGATTCTACTTTGCACCATTCAACCACTTAGTCTTCTGCTCTTAATCCTAGGTAGCATAGAGCAGATACTACATGCTTACATGAGATTCTAGTTAAATCCCATTTTCTACAACTGCAAGTCCTAACCTCACATTAACAATCCTTTGTTCACCATACATCCCAACTACTTCAAATTTGTCATCCCCATTCCAGGTTGGTATGAACCCAGCTGATTCTACTTTGATGAGTTCCAATCTTTGTTGAATATTAGGACAAATACTCTGGTTTTACTTCTATATAGAATCCCTCTGTACATGTAACCTCTCTATTAACCAAATTCTTATTTTTTCAAGCATAGTAATAATAGGCTTCTCCCTAGCCTCCAGAATACACTCATTAAAGCTCTCACACATATTGTTCTGCAACATGTCACAGTTGGGGAAGGTACTAAAGTATGCTCTAGACCAATTCTTTGGTAGTCTATCAGACAACCAATTATAAGCAGCCACATTAATCCCTTTTAACTCCTCCATAACATTATTGAAATCAACAATTGTTGTTGATTTGGTAGCCCTCCACAACAGATCCTTTAGAACTAATCCCTTATGTTCTGTTTTGAAGTTATTGTACAAATGCCTTACATGAAACCTGTGTTCAGCATTTGGGAAAAAGCTTTCCACTGCATCCAACAATCCTTGCAACATTAAAAGTCTAATTAGAACATAAAACATTTAATGCTTATTGCATTATGCCACAAGTGAAATGAAAAATAAAGGATCTGGATACTTGCCTTTTGTTTATCTAACATGAAAGTCCATGCATGTGAATTAACTATTTGAAGATCTTGTTTAATAAGTTGAAGAAACCATGCCCAGGATTTTTTTGTTTCTTTCTCAACTACAACAAATGCAAATGGATACATTTGGTTGTTGGCATCAATTTTCACTGCTGCAAGCAAAATTCCAGCTAGTGGTCCCTTCAGATGACATCCATCTATTCCAATTAATGGCCTACATCCCTCAAGTAATTCCCTCTTCAATGCCCCATAACATACATATAACCTTTTGAACATAAATTGATCTCCTGTTATAGACTTAGTTTTAATAATGCAAGTGGTCCCTATGTTTGTTCTCCTTAACTCTTCACAATAATCCCACAACATATTGAATTGTTCTTTATGAATCCTATTCATCATTGTAATTGCTTTTTGTTTGGTTCCATATACTGAACTGGGATGTAACTTCACTATATGTTCTTTAAGAATTGTTTCTTTTAGTGACTTAATGGGCCAGGTTGGGTTTGATCTAATTCGCAACCCACTTAGTATTGGCATGATTCATTTTAAAATTTCTGTTTCAACTATGTCTACCAACGTAAGTTTTTACCTGCATGGTCATCTTTGAACCCAATCTTAAAGCATATATCATCCAATCACAACCTAATTTACAAACTGCCCTCACCCTATACTTCTCATTTTTTGCAAATCGTATTTGTTTTCCCTATTTTATTGCATGTTGTCTCACTGCTGCCCTGAACTCAGCTGAACTTTTAAATAACATCCCTAGCTTAAACTGTGGGTCAACCATATCAGCCTTAGTAGTGAAATGTGGATACTTAACCCTCTCACCCCCCTGTTTCATCCTCATCATATGAGCCACTAAGGCTTTGCAGCTCATCAGACTCACAATCTTCATCTACTAAACCACTGTCATTGTCCATTCCTATTGCCTTAACATTCTGATCCCCTTTCTGTTTGTTACTTTCAACCCTTGTCCCATTTCCTACAAAGTTAGAATCATCATCAACTACATTCTCATACAACTGGGAATTCTCCATATCATATTCATTATCATAAAAATATTCAGACCCAGAAGACTCATCCTGTGAGCATTCTTCACTGTCAACTTCATCCTTATCAGAAGAACTCTTAGATGCTACTCCATTACCATAAGTTGACTCAGCTTGACTAAGGTTCAACATACAAGTCTTACTGTGTTTCACATATAGATCAACCACTCTGTTACTATTTTTCCACTTCTTAAGTTCCATGATCTGTTGATCATTTTCCAATTCCCCCCACCCTTTACTAGCTTTATGATAGTATTTTGTATTCTCAGAATAATCTACTCCAACATCTTTCAGCATGTTGTTCAACTCTACCAAAGATAATTGGTCAGCATGACACATATCAAAGTGGTTCCATCTCCCACATGTGTACACTTTGTCACCATAACCCTCAAATTTACCACTATGATGCATTTTTATTGTAAAATAATCTGTGTCAGTCTTTGCATAAACAAATACTAACTTATACAAAAAACCATTTTAATATTCAACACTTGAATATAAAAATCAACCCACACAAACCACATAGCTTCTTGCTAACAAAACAAATCATATAAAACCAAATAATTCAGGCCCACACCCACACAAATCACATAGCTTCTTGTAGACAAAATAAATCACATAAAACCAAATAACTTAGGCCAACACAAACACATAATATATTATAACTTTGAAAACAATCACATAAAAAAAAAGAAGAAGAAAAAACAAAAGCACGCCATTAAAACTGGAACCATTCCAAATGGAAACAAACAAATTCTCACCGTAAATTGATGACTCCTGTCCAAGTAGTATATCACAGTTATACTCTCTTACAACCCAATACATTTGATCGATATCCAAGGTCAACAGCTTCGATTGTGTTCCACAAACAAGGTTAGCAGCTTCGATTGTGTTTCACCCAACACAAGCACCTTCGTTTCTCTCCTTTTTTGAGACTGATAAAGGGAGTAAAGGAGATGAACTTTCGTTTCTCTCCTTTTTTGAGACTGAGAAAGGGGGTTTCAGATGAACCGATACCATGTGCTACTCACGTGAGATCAAGGAATGTATTTTTACAATTCAATTCCTGTAAGAATCACATGCAAGTCGTGTGCTGAATTTTCAAACGGTAAATCGAACGGACGTTTGAGATTGGTGCACATTGCATCGTTTTGGTGACATTCAGGGTACAAATTGAAAAATCTTATATTTCAGGGTGTAAATTAAAAATTTGAGAATCTTTCAAGGTGCAAATTGCGATTAGCCCTTATTTTTTATCATAAACTTCTCACGCGATTACTTAAATATGGATAAAAAATAATTTGAATAGTTATTGACCAAAATTTGAATAACTCTTAATCAAAAACATATAATATGGGTAGCTTTTGACCAAAATTTAGATAGTTCATTAATAAAACTGTGTAATTTGAGTAACTCTTTAACCAAAATATAGGTAAAAATTTGGTCAAAAATTATCCAAATTATTTTTTATTCGTATTTAGGTATTACGTGACAAGTTTATAATAAAAAATTAAAGCAATTTGGACGTTGCCTGCTTAAGGGACCATATAAAAATATATTTAATACTTTAAAAACTAAAATGATGCAATTGAAATACTGATGACCAAAATGAGACAAACTCTATATTTTTAGGATCTCTAGTGTAATTAACTTTAAAATTTTTAGAAATAAATAAATTTTATTATTTATTTTTCCTTTAAAGAAATATATGAAGGAGCGTTTGCACACGACATTTGGGTTTGTAATTATAATAAGTGAGATATGTAGGAAAAAGATATATATAATAACGCAAAAAAATTTATAAAAATGAAAAGTTAAGAATGCTTAATGAAAAATAATATAAATATTTCATAATTAATTATATTATTGTGACTGTACAATGCACTTTATCNTGACTCGTTTATATACCAGTTATACATGATTCATACATTACATGAACCAAATATAACACAATTCGTCAAACCCAATTAATAAATGAATTGAATATAGGTGAAATAATTTTTGACATGAACCCGCTAAGACCTGACACAAATTTGTCTCACTCGACACGATTGACAGGCCTACCCACACCCCCACACACAGAGTAGGGATTCAAATCTTCCTTAATACACTTTTTTTTATTGCATATAATGATAAATCATCTATTATGAATAGATGATGTTATAAGTCAAAGGTGTGAGATAGGTGCTTAAGTTGAGAAGCTCAAGGCTATGGAACAGTGATTGTGATAAGAACAATAAGTGAGTGAA